ATAAATAGTTCAGTTAATTCACGTTCAGGTTCATTTCATAGTTCAGATTCACTTACCACAATGTTGTCTGACCTTACAGTGCTTGTCCTGCCCCTTCCCGCTTATTCGTACAATGAATATTAATCGCACAGAGGTTAGTCTAAAAAAAGTAAGGTTCCTCGCATCTAATAAACTGTGCCAAGTGTCCTACTTAAATAAAAACAGTTGTGTTTGTATAACAAATAAACTTGTTTATTTCGATAACCATTCATGCAGTACATATACGCAAAACAGTTTCACAATAAGCTAAACCGCCTTTACCTTGCGTTCCTTCATTGAGCCTGTCTCTGTTGATGAGCACGTGTGCTTGTATGTGTGTATTCTTTTCTCGATTGCTCATTTTCGCTATATATTTATATGGATCTGTATGACTTCTATTATTTTACACATATAATATAATGCAACTCAAGATGACCACATACCAGTCAAGTCTGTCGGCCTTGATCTCATCTCTGCCATTTGTTTCCTGTATTCATCTCGCTGTTGGTTATTATCTTGAACATGCCAGGCACGCACCGCAGTTCGTGCCTCTGTTGTAACTTAGCTCTCCGACAGCGAGAACGACGCGTGGCTAATCGCCGAGATATCGATAGCGTACTATCAATATATGTGATATGGGGCATCGAGTTCGGCTTCCTAGCTATCTCCTGCACCCTATCGCCAGCTAGCGGGTGGTTGTTCTCGACGTTTTGCTCTTGCCTTTTTTATAATTTTGTGTCCTTGCCGTAGCGTCTGCCATCGATTCCATTGCAATCAATGTCACACGAGAAATGGCGTACAAATCATCAGCGCGCGTCCCTTGCCCGTATTATGTCTACTATGATGCCCACACAAGCAACATATGGAATTTCGCCCTTCAAAAAAAAAGATTGTTTCTTTTCAAAGTTCTTTGCATTTTTATAACCTTCAATAGGCCAAAATATCCGTCGCCATGGTCATGCTGGTCGTTGGCTAGCTCACGGAGGATAGATTCAGTGCAGGAGCGTCACATGACAAATTCTCATTCAATGAATCCAATGAAGGCAGATAACAACTCAAGCTTACTCTTGAACAAGAAACCAATCGTAAGTGGTTATAATGTAATGCTAACAAGCGTTTTTGCTGAATACCTCTCCATTTTTAAGCACAATATATATGTAGCCTTCTTTTTTCATTTCTTTATTCGATCCTTCATTTCTAATATGAAACATTGAAGGAGTACCTTATTCCTCATAAATTTTTACATCGAAGCAAGCACAATTAGAGTTTTCCATTGGCTAAAATTTTCAACGGTTCATAGCACAGCACAAAACGTTATTATGATTCATACATAATGAATACATAAATTGAATTTATACTATAATGTATTTGCACGCGTCTATACCTTATCTTATACTCGTATAATATTTAATTAAATATGTACATACATTTTCACTGTTCCTTTGATTCTTTGTTTTTATTATTCCAAATTATATAAGCCATACGCCCCTAACATGTAACACGATTGACTATAACAATATTATTAACATTCTTCTGGTATTCTATATTTATATACGGATAGATAGAGTAACGGCGACATACAGCACGCTTTTTCCTTATTGTTAAGTACCAAGTTTGGTTTACTTAATAATATTAGGTGTACTTCATTTTTAACTTATTTTATAGATTAACTACCTCTTTGCCCAAAAGCCGAACCCAACCGTTCGCACCGACACGAAAAGCGGTACGTGACAGCTTTTATGGACAAAAATCGAATCCACCATTGATGACGGATAATGGTAAGAACACTAATTATAGTACCAATAAAGATGGCGAAGTAAATTAGTTTTTCCTATGCCTCATTTAATACGCGTGCTGAAGTTCTTTCCCTCTTGTGTGAACTGTGTGCCGCTGCCAGCGTTATTGTTGAGGTTTGTCTGACACGAGAGGTCTGGGGCAATATAGCGCGCGGGCGAAACTCGCTTGTTCAGAGACACTAGATAATTATTAAGTCTCATAACAATTACTGTTACAATCCTCATTAGGTACAAGATACACGAATCAGATGATTGAAGTTCTCGGGCAATCTGTTAACTTCCTTTTATTTTTCAACTTGTTTCGACTACTGCGATTTGCTTGAATGTTATTATGGATATGCTATTTTATAAGCTAGATGTCATATTGCACTCGGTGGACCGCTGCCGTGCTGTTTCAGCGAAAGAGTGCAAAAAGGCCGGTCACGGTAAAGGCCTGTATTGGCCTTACAGAATCGAACATTTGTCGGCCACATATCAAACACTCCCAATGGAACCTTTTACCTAAATGCTTCGGGTACACAGCCATGTCCATGTTGGTAATGGCTATCCAGTCATGTATACGTTAGTAGTAGCTTTCACGAGTCTTACCTCCATATGATCTTCGCAATAACAGACAACACTTTTCAGGTGAATGTACTGAGTATAGATTCGACTAGTAATTTGTTTAATTTTTTTCATTGCGTTCTGATCAAAGCTCTCAGTGTTGTCGCCAGCCGAAAACAATATATCTAAGCATACATATTCATGCTTACTACGACAATGTGTGGACGCACCGTACTTGTGATATATTAAGCACACAAGTACATGCGTAACAGCCAATATATAGTACACACCTTGCGCAGAATCGGAATAGAAAACAGAGTTTGACTTTCATATTTGATTTTAATCTAACGATGAGATAAGTGAAGCAGAGATACAATGTGAACCCTACGAAAATGGATCGTTTCTAATGCATAAGATCATGAAGCTGCTGCGGCGTACTCGGCAAATCCGATTGTAGATCAACAAATTATCTTAAAGTAGAAGAAAACAAGAGTAAAGTTTCTAGTAATGCCTATTTGCCACTAATGGAAACACTGTTTCAAGCATATATGTTGAGGGAACCGCTATGCAGGTGACCAATATGAGAAGATTCTGAATTTCTCGACGCACGACACGCGTAGCAAGTTATAACGGAATGGCTCATATTTTTCTATCTCTCTAACAAACATAAATCAATTAGCATGTTACACGAAGTCTAGAAATGTATAAGCGTCGGCGATGTCTTAACTTAAATAAGGTTTGCTGGGATAAACGGCGAGATGTTCGGGTAAGTCTCTGTTTTCAATAGATCTGAAATCCGCGTAAATTAACTTATCAGTTAAAAGAACGCGCTCAGCAAAGGCTTCTAATTCTATAAGGCATGTGTCTCTTTTCGAATATCCCCTAAATAAAAGGAAATAGTGAACTGTTTCGGCTTTGTTTTATACGAGGCCTACGATACCCCATTGTCGGATCGGCCTGAATTTTAAACAGATATTGGTAAAATAACAAAATAGCCTTTACGTGTCTTGCTTGATTTCTATATAAGTTCTATATTTAAATGTCTCTGCTAATCTGAGACAGGGCCCAGACTGCGAGGTGCGTCAAGAAAAAGTAAGAGAAGCGAGCAAAAGTCCGTAAGATGACAATAATGGCTGTTCAATTGCTGGGTAAGTAAAGATGTCATTCGGTCTAATGAGCTACAAAGTGCTGGTCCATTTTAAAGCCTCGTTGAAGTAGCTGCACAGCGGCAATAAGCGGCACAAAGCGAGGTCCCGTTTCGTCATCATCTAAATAGCGGGCTACCTTTCATCTCTGTGTGTTTTTCTCTCCTTTAGCTCTGTTTTATGCTCTCAATATGTCGTGACACACAATGTGATAAAGAGGATGACAACGAAAATCATTCGTCATTTCTGTTTGAGACAATTTCTTATATGTGTCCAGATGCGTGATCCTACGTGTAAGCGTTTACAACGGACGTCAATAATAGTATATGTCGGCTAATGCCTTTATCGAAAGAATACATGAAGCCAATATTTATCGCTTCGAATATAACAAAGATGACTAGAAGAAAGCTTTGCACAGAAAAACCATAAGGTACTGTTTTGCTTTTTAGCTACTTTGCAGCATTAGGAGAAAAGAAAGAGCCGAACTACAGGGAACAAGACGCGACCATAGTGATGATGAGTAAATGAAGAAAGAAGAGGATGACGTTTTGTTCTTGTTCATACACACGCACAGCGCTCCTCGGTATACAACACCTGAACATAGACGGAATATGATTTACGATGCGGGCAGGCAATGCTTGGGGGGAGCAATAATATAGAAAAACGACTATTACCCCGGTTAGAAGAAACAAAAGATATAGGATAGGATCGTATGGGGTTTAGAGAGATGTGAAGTATCTGGGTCAACTGGTGAACAAACCGTCGGGTCGTAACACCCGCAGTTATGATCATCGCATCGTTGCGACCCTCATCCAGTGTTAGGAGCATCCTTGTGAGCATGTTGTTTTTAAACCTGTGAAAATGGGATCTTTCTAAATACGTGTACAATTGGCTTATTTAGGTGAACTCGTTGCAATGGAACAATATGATATAAATATCCGAAACCAGGCACGTGTACAGGCAGTGATACTGAAAAACCGAGCTCGAAGTTTAAAGATTGAGTATATATAAGCTTCTTGATGAAGTATATGGCAAAATAATAAGTATAAAACCAAACTCAATAGAAAGTAAACTGAACAAACAAGCTGTCGTTTTTCTATACCTAAAATAAGCTTAATAAGGAGTACAAAAAATGTATCCCCTAATGCATCTTAACTTGACTACAGGCCACAAACAGGAATATGTTGTTTTTGCTGTTACTAGCGTAGAAGTCTATAT